ATAATTTTAAAAAGTAAAATAATAACAATAATAATTATTAATTTGTAAAAATTAAAAACTTTAAATTAAGATATTTAAATAAAAATATTTTATTTAAATTTTAAAAATTTGTAAAATCTAAATAAAAAAATTAAAATTTATTAAAATTTATTTGAATTTTTTATTAAATACAAAGTTTTTTAAATAGAAAATTTATTAATTTACCCCCATGTATTAAACACGGGTATAATTTATAAAAAAATTTAATACAAAATTTAAAGAAAAAATTAAATTGAATTAAAGTTAGGATAAGGTTAGGGTTAGGAGTAGTTTATACTAAAATTTTTGTGTAGACTTTTTTTTGTTAGAATATGAAAGTGGTTTCATAAGCAAAATTTTGAGTTATCAATATACCTGTGTTTCATACACAGGTGTACAAATAGTAATTGCCTTTTAAATAATATAAAATTTCAAATTTTATCACAATAAATAAAAATTTCAAATTATATATTTATTATATATTACAAAATTTTAATAAAAATTAAATTATAATTTTAAATAGTTTTATCAAAGATTAATTTTTAGAATTAATTTAGAATTAACCGGTGGTGAAATTCACCAGCCTAAGAATTGTTAGGGTTAGGGTATTAAGAATTTTTTTTTATATAAAATAACATAGAGTTAATATAAGGTTCCAATCTCAGTTCTTGTGAAGTTCTGGACATTTTTACTTAGAGTACCCGATCCCGTTTACTTAGTCGTTTTTGACCCCGGTTAGCGTTAAAATCGTCCTTTTTTTTTATTAGTTTTTAAAATTAAATTTTATAATACAAATTATCATGTTTTTAATCAATAATTTTAACTAATTTAAATTACTAATTTTTATTATAAAATTCATTACATATGTTAAGAATATTTTTTATAAATCGGTTTATAATAAAATATATGGTAGCAAATTTTTTTAAAAAAATATAGTAGATAATTTATACTGTGCTTAATGATTATATATTAATATATATATAAAGTTATACGACATATTTTCATATATTTAAATTTTGGACTCTAAAAATTTTTATTCAGAAACCAGAAACCGGCGTTGTTAAATCAGATTGTCGATCGGTTGAAAAAATTTGATTGGTACAAATTTTGTCGATTTTCTACTCTATCTAGGTAAAAAATTAAGTTTAATGTATCTATTTTCTTCATAAACATGTAACAATATATTAAATAAATAAACATTCTTTCAGTTGCAGAAAATCTCCTGATGTTTTTTTTTGAATCCGATAAGACTGTATATATAATTTTAAAATACGTATCGAGTTTATCTTAGTTAAAAATAAATTATTAGAAAATGAAATAATCAAAATTTTATTACGTGATAATCGACTAAGTTTTTAGTAATAACATGACAAATATTGACGTATAAGAAATTCATATCGTAAGCAAGAGATCGTGAATAAAAATTAACCAAAAGATTAATAATCGACTAATTTACTAAACTAATTTATTTAAATATATATATATATATATATATATATATATTAATAAATTGACTAATATTAATAAAAACTTTTGAATAACGGAAAATGGGCACGTGCTGCCGCTTTGCGGCACGTATCAGCCGTATTCGAAATTACTGGAGCCCTAGTATCGCCCACAAAAAAAAAAAAATATGTAGCTTACGTCATAATTAAAACTCAGAATCAATAACGTAAGCAACATTTTTTATGGGTGATGCTAGGGCTGTTGTATTATTGGTGTTATTCGGCAGGCATTTATGATAATGATTCGTAGGGAGAGTTTCAATTTAAATAAACATAATTACATATTAATACATAAGATGATCATAATATTTATTTTTGAATTTTGCTATTTATCACCACTGGTGATCATCACCGGTGTTGCTATATCTCAAAAACGTACTAAGTAAACGGGATCGGGTTCTCTAAGTAAAAATGTTCAGGACCCCCAAAAACCTCACGAAAACTAAGATCGGGCCCTTATAGTAGTTATATATATTATATAAAAAAAAACAATAATTCTCTAATTTCTAACCCTAACCCTAACTAATCTTAGGACCGGTGATGATCACCAGTGGTGATATGTAGTAATTTTCTTTATTTTTAGTTTTAGAATTCTGGAAAATTATAGAATTTTTATACGTACGTAAAATACTATTGAATATCAAAAATAGAATAGATTGAAACAAAAAAAATCTACTACGTAGTTAATTAATAATGATAGATCTTAACCACTTTCGAAGATTTATTTCTAAAAAAAAATTGATACTCGTGTTATTTTTACAGTTATTACTAAAATATCTTCGTTTAAAAAAAAATTAGCCGATCTTCATGTAGATTTCAACAATTCAATTTTTAACCTATTTTCTAAATTTTCAAAGTGTTTGATAATGTTTGATATATATATATAATGTTGATAATGTTGATAATGTTTGATATATAATGTTGATAATGTTGAAGCAGATCATAAATAAAATTTTTTAAACGTTATTTGTTAGATCAGGGGATTCAGTGATACATTTACAGTAATATTTTCCCGGTTATGACATAACACATGGCAGAAGGAAAATCATTAAAAGAAATGTTTTAATAATGCTGTAATGTGTATTGTATGTACGTATGTACGTACATAGTCTTAATATTGATATACAAATATTGCAACAGAATTAGCAACAGTATTCGATAAATATAGTTTTAATGATTGCACAAGAATTTTAAAGGCGCTCTTAAGGCTAGTAGATAACTGCAAAGGTCGATTAAAAAATTACAATATCAGCTAATTGGGTAATGTATGATAAAATGATATTCTATCATTATTTAATATTATTTAATCATCTGATGTCAATAACTTTTACAGTTCCAATTCGGGTACAGAACACTTATTATACGCACGTACTTACTTCAGCTGTTAGCAGTTAGGTAAACTTTGAATTGAAACTGTGTAACGAAAATGACAAGCAAATATCCGATACAATTATACAATTATATAATTAGCCAGCATTATAATATTAGTGCTGGTCAACCCGGTTAGTATGCAAAAATTGGCTATAACAAATACTGAAAATAAAGATAAATTAGTTTTTAAATTAGTTTTATACTAAGTTTGGAATCGATTTTTGAATTGAACGCCAAATATAATTAACAAACCTTTTAAAAATACTCCTTTCGAAATCCACATGGAAGGATACACTTACTAAAAAGAGTGAATACAGTAAACCCTATCAATATCTTTTAATATCTTTTAATATCTTTTAATATCTTTTAATTTCTTTTAGTATCTTTTAGTATCTTTTAGATTAAATACCCCTGAATAAAAAAATAAATCATTCAAAAATATTGAAATTTGTTTCCAATTTTTATCTACCACGTTTACATTAAAAATACACAAGAAAATAGCAAATTCACATTAAACTATACCAAAAAAGTCATATAATGGAGATCATTACTTTACCGGTTTTTTTAAAGAAAAATCACGCGTAATCAAAAATAAAAATTTCCTTTTTTTTATATATAATCTGATCATGAACAGCGCGTCAATTTTTCATCAAATTTTTTTGGCTAATTTTGAGATTCAGTTTACACGTCTTTAACACGTGACGTGAGTAAGGTATAATTTTTCGTAACTCATAATAATCACAAATTTTTTTTTATTTAATAATATACAAAATCTTAAAATTTGATTTCTTGTTTCATTCATAATTTAGAAAAAAAAAAAGAAAAGATAAAATAAAAAAGAATCAAGATAAAAAGAAAATAAAAAGAAAATAAAAGAAAAATAAAAAATATATAATATATATTTACAAAATAGGCACAACACAACGAAAAAGTACAAAGGAAAAAAATAAAAATAAAAAGTTCTCACATATGAACGCGTTAAAATAAAATATAAACGAAATAAATGAAGAAAATAAAAAAAAAAAGAAAAAGTGAGAATTTTTTTGCTAGATTCACTAGATTCGATAAACGTTAACAGACATACAGTATATATGTCGGTTAATGATAAAAAATTTTTGATATATACAAAAAATAAAGCTCGATTTAAGTAGTTTAAGAGCCCTAAATACTGAAGTAGATAGCTATTGGCTTCTCTATTTTCCGAATTGTTTTGTTTTTTGCGTTTTTTTTTCGAAATAAATTTTCTTCCATCATAAAAAAATATCCGGTTGTTAAGTTCGTTCGTTCGTTCGTTCGTTATATACGTATAAACAGAATTTTCATTCGAAAATTGACGTCTAAATTATGTCCGTTCGTTCCGTAAAAAAAAGAAAAGAAAATCGATCTTTCTTTCTTTCTTTCTTTGTTTGTTTCTTCCATTTCCAAACAAGTATAGAAATTAATCGAGAGGTGACACGCGTGCCTAGACGTACGTAATAGTAACCTAAAACTCGATTGCCCAACGGTTGATTATTTTTTGACGGAAAGGATTTTTTTTTTCCCACATCACCAATATAACGATATTTTATCCAGAGCCTTTTTTCGAAAATTCTACAAACATATTTTAGGATGATCCAAAATAAATCGAAAAAGTGTGACGAAAAAGGGATTATCCAATGTTGTAAAAATTTGAAATAAAATTTGAATTGAAATAAGGCGAGGATTATCGGATAAGTGGGAAAATAAAAAAAAAATTTCCCAAAGTGATTTTTTTCTTCCGTTTTTTCTATTAGAAATACGTGATAAAAAGATACGAATTATATATATATAGATATGATATATAATTGAGTGTACATTTTCTTAAAAAAAAAAAAGAGAGAGATGAATACTAAAAAGAAAATTTTTTCCAAAATTGGTTTTTTCTTCCCCTTTCCGAAATATAGTAATATTATTTTTTTTTTCTCTCAAAAAAAAAATTCATAGAAAATAAAAAGAAAAAAAATTCATAAAAAAAAAGTAAGAATAGCGAATCTCTTAATAAAAATATCTTGATGTTATTAATATAATCATAATTCTCGCCGAATTTGGATACTATGTGGGTCATAGATTTTATTTTAATTTCCTCATTTAGTTAAGATGAGCGCAGGGAACTCTAACACCGTTTACGAACATTTCATCAAATTGTTCCATTTGAACAACTTGAATGAACGTATTTTCAACTCTTAATTCATTAACACCTCCGAGTTCATCATTATAATCATATTCCTCGAATTCAGGGAATGAAACATATGATGATTCGTTTGAAAGTATAGTTGGTGAAGAACAATGGTCTTGCTTAACAAGATTCGGAGTGTTAATTGAAGTAGGGGAGTTTAAGGGGGAGGAGAGCAATTGCATAGTTGCATTTATAAGGATGTGAAGAGTATTCCTTCTTTTACGAAAGGTAGTTGAAACTTGAACGGTGTTAGGATGAGCAGAGGAAATGGTTAAAGAATCAGTAGTGTTTATGATTCCAACAGAGTGAATATTGTTCGTACTGGTAGTCGTACTACTTTTACTTTCTTGTTGGAAAATCATGATCAATTGTAATAAAAAAAAAATATATAATATATATATTTATATATTTTGTAACTTTTTTCAAAAATAAAAATAAAAATAATAGATATTTTTTGAGCTGTTTTTTGAGCTTTATGGTGAACAAAAAAAAATTAATTTTTTTGAGAACCAAGAGTCTTTATATAAAGAAATTTTTTTTTCGAGAACCCAGTATTGCAAATTTAATACGTATTGTTTATAAAAATGGACGAAAATGGAAAATCGGGTTAAAAATATATTTTAATAAATTTTTATGTATTGTGAACTTATATAATTTTTTAGTCGAATAATTTATTTTGATCTTAGATGGTAAATGTAATCTTAAAAGAAATGATGAGATTGGTAAATCATAAAAAAGAAGTCACATTAAAAGTTCATTAGTGATATCATTAAACAAAGAGCTAATATAATTTTTAAAAAAATAACAAGGTCGTCATTAATAAAGAAAATTTTTAAAAAACGGGTTCATTTAATTAAAGATCAAAGATGGAGACTGGTGTCGGTCTCACCAATGCTCAAAAGTAATGGATAGGCTTCTAACGTGGGAGATGTCCCTTTTTATAATAAATCAAAAAAATTTTTTTTTATAACCCAATATAAAATTGATTAAACTGATTTTTTTTTTTTTATAATGGTTTTCCCCTTTCAGTTTAAAATCGGTCGTCAATTATTCTTATGGTTGTCCTACACCACTTTACTCACGCACATTTACTTTACTTGTTGAGGAAAAGGATTTTATTATTTTGTTGATTTTCTTTTTACATGCAAAACAGTCGTTGGCTGTCAATCGTTACTCTAAAAAAAGTTGACAGTTTTAATAGGAGTATACGTATAATATAACGTATAATATAAAAAAAGTTAAATAAATAAATAAATAAATAGGTAGGTAGATAAATAAATAAATAAAATAAATAAATAAAATAAAATAGTTAAGTAAATAGTGTAAGTAAATAGTGTAAGTAAATAGTGTAAGTAAATAGTGTAAGTAAATAGTGTAAGTAAATAGTGTAAGTAAATACTGTAAGTAAATACTGTAAGTAAATACTGTAAATGAATACTGTAAGTAAATACTGTAAATGAATAAGTAAAATAAAATCAAAAGAATACCTGCGAAGTAAAATTGAAAAGATTACTCTAAATATTCTTATTCCATTAAAATAACATGCAGGTATTATAAATTGTACTTGAAATAAATGTCCGACTTTTTAATACCAGTATATACACAATAAAAAAAAGATAAATAAAATTTTTTTTTCTTCTTTTAAACGCATTTATACATATATTATTATTAAATTGAGCTTAAACTAACCAATTAATGCTATTAGTATTATTATTATTATTAGTATAAAAAAAAAAAAAAGGTCAATTTTAAACCGCAGAAATAAGTTTATTAGTATCGATATTCTTGGGAGCCTGTCTGACACCATCCAGGGTAATCACATTGTAGTCATTAATTATGACATGTATGCGGATTTCACAATAAATTATATTCATGAAAATTCAAAGAATAGCAATACCGAAATTCACCGCCACATTAATATATGAGAAGGAATGGCGTTTTGTACCTATTTAATTTATATTATAATATCTTTTTTATTATTATCGTTATATTGTTTATAGTTATGCGCATAACTTGTATACCTTGTGGAACTTGTGCAACAAGGTGAAAAGAGATCTTGACTCTATCTATACTCATCTGCATCAATTACTATTGATCTGGAGGTCACTAGTCTCCATTAATCCGGTGCATAAAAAATAAGGAAACTATTATGTGAACTGTTTTCGGCGTTTTTTACATGTGCGTGGATTTTCTTTATAATTTTTCGTGAATTTAGTGTATAATTTCTTATGTGTTCGTTCCAGGGTCCTTAAAGTACCACTCTCCACATCTTACATCTCATGATGTTTTCCAATAATAGAATCTAAAGATTAAAATTGATTAATTGTCACATTGTTTGAATTTTCCCGTAATCTTTCCTCATTCTTTTCTCATCATAAATAATTCATAAATAATAATTGACTGGTTCCAGGTCCCATCATCTTTAGATAATTCATTTACCAGACAGAACAATAATTCATTGGTATAACCCGATAACCCGTATTGATGTGTTGGACATCATTGAGGTAAATCTCCTATTGTCTTTCTAATAATTAATATTATATGAGTTCCCATGCAGGATCGGGCCTTACATAAAAATTCAAATAATTTTGATCATTTTTGTTCATTTATACTGTTGTATATATTTATCAATAAGCCCGGTCTCTCGGATTCCGGTAGTAAGTAACTAACAAACAAAAAAAAAAAAAAATTTCCACTTCCAAAAAAAAAGAAACAAGTCTTAACAAGTCTCAAACAAAAGGATTTGATTAACCTCTAAATAGTATTTTATTTGTCGGTTATTTTTAAAAAAAAATTTTTTAACTCCGTTCTATATATCATATAATGGTCCTTATAATTTTCATTGTACATATGCACAGCCAATGTTGGTAATGTCCGTCAATTTTCCTCAATCCTAATCAACTGACTAATCTTTTAATAAAGCTTCTTTTTTGTTCTTTTTTGTAATTGGGAAATGATGAATGCATGTACAATGCACATTTCTTGTTAATAATATCAATTCCTGGGTACTTTCCATTCTTGTTTCTGTAAAACAATTAGTAAAGTTATGCTCTATTCTTTTTTATTACCTAATGTTCGGCTATTATATAATATATTAATATTTAATAATAATATTTAATAATATTTTATAATATGTCCGTCTATAATATTTATTTATATTTATATTTGTCCTACCTTATTCGGTTCATCTAATTTTTGATTTTCATTAATATTAATTGGGTTAAATTATTAAATTGTCATTTTTGGGTAAAAAATCATGAAACTCCCATTCTTCATTTCTTCCTTTCTTTACTTTATTTTTCTTTTTTAAACTTTATCCTCAACTCGGGCCCGATCAGTGAGCGTGTTTATTGTTTTTTTTTTTATTTTGGAAGTTGTACGGATTTTCCTTTGAATCTTCAAAACGTGAAACTTTATTGCATGTAAATATTTTTCCCGTTTATTAACAAAATACTCGGTTATTCATATTGTTCGTTTATTAAATTTATCTAAATTATTCTCTAAATTATCTATATTATCTATTCTAGTTTGGTTTCATTCCTTCTCCTGATCGAGAATTTTTAGTTCAATAGGTGATAGGCTGAATCATTTCGAATTAAGACTAGATCAAGATTAAATGTGGTCAGTGTGTTCAATTACGGAAAATTTTTTTCTTATTATTAAAAAAAATTGGCTCTTTTCTTTTTTTATCTATACAACTCCTTCAATTTTCGTTAAATGGTTAGTTCTACAATGGAATATTATCTAAATTTGTTATTAAAAAAAAATTTTTATATACTTATTATTTTATTATTTTACGATTTGTTAAACAAATTTATCTTTATCTTATCGATTATCTTTTTGTGTATCAAAAAACTCTATTCGTTTATATTTTTAAAAAATCTGTTCACGCGGTCGTTTCATGTCTTTGACGCGGTGCCAATATGGCTATGATAATCTTTAAACTATGTGCATGGTTAGTCATGATAAAACTAAGCATGCACGTGTATATTGGTTATTCAAATTTTGTATTTTTTTTTTAGTTTTGTATTTGATATTTTTGTATTTTTGTTCTTTTTGTTACTAATCTTGGTATCTTAAAAAATCGGGTCTTACAATATTTTATTTCTCAAAAAATCACCAGTTGGATTTCGCATATAGATATGTATCGTTGATCTAATGCTTTCCGGTTCCAATACTCTTTTGCAGAGTAGTAAGTATATGCTAATTATAATGATAAATTTGATTTTTTTTGATTGTATGAATGCATGTACTGTATTGAGAAAATGCATATTTATTTGTGATTTACTTTCATATCTGATTTTCTGACATAAAATGTTATGTTCGAACTATTCCGATAATAAGGACTCGGATTAAACATCAATTGGTGACATTCTTCACCTTTCACCTGAATTACAAAGTTTTCTTATTATTGGATTCTGTAGAACGCGCATTTTAAACCTACTAATCCCTCTTTACGAATTATGATTGGATAAAAATTCTTTTGCTACCTATATACTATACGGATTAAATTTTAAAACCTCCGTAAAATATTCTTAAAATATCCTTAAAAGTATCTTTTGATTTTTCCATAAATATTAAAAAGGTCTTGTTTTATTTTTAAGCTTTTTTTTAAAAACCTGTTCGCTTGATAATATAAGAAAAAAAAATTCTTATTATTATTGAACCCGTTTTCGTTTTCATAAATGATTACAAATTTGTTTGATACCAATGGTGTATATATGCACGTATTTATAAATAAACCCTTATTTGTAATATGAATGTGAATCGATACTATAATAATAGCAATAGTTTTAATCGTTTAATCGAATTAGAATTGTTTCTCATTTTTATACGTATAATCGTTTCTATATATTATAAAAGATTAAATATTTTAGAATCAATTTTAAAGCATATAACCGTTATACTGTATATTAAGATTTCAATGTCTAGGTTTTAATAAATATTCTTTCTGTTTTCAGGTTCAAATGTAAATGAAAAGAAATGTAAATGGCTTGAAAATTTTGAAAATTTTGAAAATTGTAGGGAGCATTATGTTATTTAATCCTATAGTTTGTTTTATCTTTATAAAATTGTGTTTGCTTTTTTTTGTTCATCTCGTTATTGTTACTGCAACAAGAACTAAACATCGTCAACTTGAAAAAGAAAAAGATAGGTTTGTCTATACATTTTATACGTGGTCGAAAAATTATTTAAATTATGGCTTATGTTACGTAAAACCATTATTATGCCTATACATGTGATCGAAATATTTCGACTTAATTTCGGTTTGTGTCAAAATTATTAAGGATTATGTCATACTAGTTTCGAATATCTGAAATAGTTTCGGTCACACATATAATTATGTCGTAACTGGTTTCGAATAAGTTGACGTGGTTTCAACCACATGTATAGATCTTTCTTTGGATTATACGTATTTCTGTTCTGATTGTGTTAATAATAGTAATCATTGTCTGGAGCATTGCGGATGATAGTTATATTTTACAAAAACTGTTACATTTTTGATTAACCGCGATTTTGAAATTTCATTTCTGTTCGTCTACGTGACTATATTAACAAAAACAAACTCAAGCTTTATAATAGTCTCCAGTACTGTACAATATACCATGCTACACTTTAACCTAGTAATAGCACAAATTATTATTTAATAATCTATATCGATATTATTTGTATAATCTAAATACGTAGCACTTTATAATACAAAACAAAATTAGAGCTTAATCGGACAAGCTAATGCAAGAAATAATATTTAGGTTTCGATCATCGATTCTAAACGATTTTGAGGTATTCGATCATCGATTGTGATTTTTAGAATTGATTTACACCCTAATTTGTAATTATATTACTGTACGTACGTATAATTAACTAATCAATTAAATATGTGAAGTTAGTAGATTAGTAAAGATATATAGTGTATATATAAATTTTTAAATTCTAAATTACAAGATTTGGCATTATCTGGTTGCTTTGAAAGTATCTAGATACAACTTGCTGCACCACTTTATGGATAAAACAGAAGACTTTGTTAGCCCTGTTATAAGTCAAACTTTAATTTTTTTTTATCTAGATCTTGGCAAAAAGTTTATATCAGCCTATTTCTCTATTAAACAAAACAAAAAAACAAATATAGCACTTTTACAAGAATAAAAAAAATATAAAGCAAAATAATAAAGAATTTAATAAAAAAAA